GTCACTCGAGATCGCATGCGAATGTATTAGAGAAAAGACTGACACCGAAACCAAACAGTTTCTTGCATTGCTCGAGCTGCTTGCCGACGTCGACACCGAGTTCGAAGAGCTGGTCGCAGAAACGCATGGCATTGTTGGCTTTGGCAACGAGAGCGGCGAGATCGACGGGAATTTCGGAGCTGGCGGACATGGTGAATGCGAGTAATAAGTGTGTAGACCAGAGTGTAAAGAGCGTGGAGTGTTCTAAGTCGTCGAGGCGAGTTGGAACGATTTCTACTTCAACGAGGACATTAATTTTTATAGTATGGGGGAGGGGTTGACATGGAACTCCGAGATTAGAGAAATTTTTGCGGAATTCACATTCCTAGAAAATATATATGGAGCATACATGTGTTTAACTACCTAGCCATACAAATAAACGCTCGAAGACTCCTAAAATACAGAAATAAGAGCCGGCTGAACTTAGAAGAGATCGAGCGATCACTTTTGATTTAACTTGGTAACTACCGAGATCAGGCGCGGAGTGTCCGGTGACTTAAAATAACCCAAGTCTAAAAATAAGGCAAACAGTAAATAGAACTAAGTCATCGAGGCAACCTAAGAAGGCACCTAGGGGTGGTTAAATTCTTAAAAAGATACCTTACACTCTTAGAAGATTGCACAGAAGAGGACAAGATGAAATATAATTATTCATTTAAAGGCCAAGGTGACCGGCTGGTTAGACATATATAATTCTGCCCGAAGGCGCACTGCACAGACAATAAATACAGAAAAGAAAAAGCCCGGAGGCACAAGAAAACCAGGCGGAACCCAAGAGAAAGACCAAGGCCTGAGTAGATCTCGATGAGCAAGAAGGCTCGAGATACACGGATCGAGATCATACTCAGACCTCTGCATCCAAGTCTCCGTCGGCGTCCATTTCGCCACCACCCCCCTCTTCGCGACAAAGAGCTTCATCTCGCTTTGGGGAAGATGCATCGTCTGCCCAAAATAACAGAAGTCAGTAAAAGAAAGAAGAGAAGAAATGAGAACAGGATAAAACTAACAACTCAATGAAAACAAAGAAGGACCAGTTTGGTCCTCATTCTCTGGAGTCATCGAGACTTCCACTTCTTGAGCAGAAAACCCATTGAGGAGTCCGTTGACAGCTGATACGTCAGTAACAAGGGACTCCTCGGCCACGACACGACCTTCATACTCAACGGTGTCCCGGATAACGGCATCGATGTCCTTGCAAGTGTCGCAAAGAAGCTCGGACAGACGGCCAGCGGTCTCGCAGGCACTATCAAAGGCCTTGATCAAGTACTCGGCCATCCCGAGGAGTCGGCGAAGATCTAGAGGTTGTGATAAGAAAAACAATCAGCGTAAATAAAGGAAATAGTGAAGGAGGTACTTACTGTCGGGCGTCCTCTCCACGAATGGGTGTATCGAGATGCGTGCTCGGTACCGCTCTTGAGGACTAGCCTTGAACGAACAAACCACCTTCTTTCCCCTTTGACAGTTCCCACAAGGAACACCCCAGCCCATGAATTCACAGGGCTTAGACTGGCTGCCCACGGCACAAAGTGAGCAGGGAACCTTGGGCTAAGAAAACAGGAAAGACTATAAATGAAAAGAGTAACAAGAGATAGGAAACGGATTTACATCCATGGTCGCGGTAGCCAGCCAACGAACTTCATCAGCATCTACTGGCTGCATGGTGACCGGGTCGAAGGCAATATTTCGCGCTGAAGAGGGTTCGTCAATAAAAACAACAACGGATAACCAAGAAAGACTTACAAGGCACCTGGGCGGCAGCTTGTCGACTGAGCTGTGCCATATGCTGTTTCGTCATCTTCCTCGGGAGCTCTGGGCTCTCATCGCGAACATTTGAAGTCTCAACATGAGACTCCGTGGCGGCAATCGCAGCCTCGCGCTTCCTCTTCTCTCCGCGAGTACGAATAACTTGTTCCTCAACTACACCAACAGGCAAGTCGACGGACGGAGGAACAGCTAGACAGGAAGATAAAAACAGAAGTTAACATTGAAAGAATGAAAGACAAAAAGAATATCACGCACCAGCAACAGAGTGACGATTGGGACCAGGTTTTGTACGCTTGGAAGGACTTCCCTGCGAAGCAGGGGGACGAAAAGGTTTCGCAACGACTACCGACTCCTCGTCAAGAGAGTTACTGGCATCGTCATCATCATCCGTATCCTCGGGCATGGAAGTTGGACCTGCCGTCTGGCCCTTAGCGAACTTTTGCGGTTTCTTGACAGAAACCACGCCTTTCTTTGACTTGGGCTAAATCAAGGTCAGATCTAGGCGACATGGAAAGAACTTAGAAAAATAAGTACTTGCCTGAGTCTTGCTTTTGCCCTTTGAAGAGGAACCAGATGGGGCTGGAACCGTTTGAGACAATCGCGGCATGAATTTTGGCGCTGGCTCGTTGACAGAGAAATGGATGGCCTAGTCAGGGCGAGGAAACGAAAGTTAGTCGTAAAAGAAGATAAAATGAAGAGAAGAAACGCACGTAGGGCGCCTCGTGAGGAGTCAACGACAACTCATCCCACCGCTCATCATACATCTCCTTGGAAATCTCGATGGCAACCAAAGAAAGCGTGTAGGCCAGGTTGAGGGCGAAGCCTCGATACTCAACGTTGGGTCGCACCCTGGCAGCCTTGAGAATACCAACCTAGACGCCGAGATTAGCGTGTTCAACAATGGTCTCGAACAGAAGATCAAACTCACGGCTGCTGGCGCTGCCTCTTTCAGTAGTCGCGCGCGACGCATGGCTGGAATCGTAAGAGCGGCCCCAGGCGAGAACATGGGAGTCAAAGAAGGCCAGAGGTTACGAAGAGTTTCGAAAGACATTGGAAGCACACGAGAAAAGTAGAAAAACAAAGACTAGAAAAGAGAAATGGTCGCGTAGTAGGCGTAGACAGATCTCGACGAGTAGAGAAGCAAAGAAAAACAAACGGAGTTGTTTCGAGAAGACTTCGAAATAAAATTAGAAGTCCGCCTCGAAGGCTGTTTCCCGGCTACAGGCTGAGTCTGAACCCACGGCCGACACCGAGGACAGACCTGTGAAGGGCTAAGCAAGAAGAATCAATACAAGTGTGAACAAAGGAATTCGTAACGAGTTCACTAAGAATAAAGATGGACGCGACATGAATTGAACTAAAAATAAGTTTAATATTGATCGCGGCTGTCAAACCCTGAAAATCATGATGAAATGCTGATTTGTAAGACAACGCGAAGATACCCCATGGGGATTCCAAACGCGAAGTGCGAGAACATCTAGGATCCTACAGAGAACAAATAAAGAAGTACCATGGCACTCCATTACTGAGTCTGGACAAGACACAAGTGACTAGGGACAGTCACTATTACAGTAAGGGGGAGATGATACGCCTGGTATCAGGCTACCCATAGATTTTGCGATTTTACATCAGTTTATGCAATCTACAAGCGGTACAGAGGGCTACAGTGGAGGCTTCGCGCTGGTAGCTAAATACTACATAAAGAATGAAAGCACGGCAGTACAGAACGGACTTAGAAACGACATCTCGAAGAGTCAATTCTACCAGCCATCAACACGCCAAGCTAAGCCCTACCTAAACAAGACTATTACAGTCAAATCTCGGGGACTCGTCTGTATGGAGTATAAAAACCAAGAAGTTGAAGAATGGAACGAACTAGATGCCTCGTCGCCTCGACAAGTAGAAAGAACCTGTCAGGAAAAATTGCTAAGTCGAGAAACAGATCAGCTTTCGAGATCAACTCAGGCTAGGAAAGGAATAACCTTGGAAGAATGAATAGCCGCGTTGGGTACCGAGATGACCGACTTTGATCGTGCAGTGATCAACAGAATACAATCTCGGACCTGCAGTCGATCGCGATCGGTGGTTACATCCTCGAGATCCTGCGCATACCGCAGTATTCAATACATACAGCACACGGCAGGCCTTGCAGACGGAAGAAGGAGCACCCACGGACTAGTAGGGCACTCCTCGGCGACAGAATAACCCGGCGCAGTCATGTCGAACTGAATAGAAACTACGGAATGGCGCGATACTTGTAGGATAGTGACTCACTGTTTGTATTAATTCCAAAGCTCGTACCATAATTACTGTAGATACGGGCTCCTATACCTAAAACACGAATCGTATAAATTAGCAGCGACTAGACGCATAACGGCAGGAAAGCATTCCCCCCGCGTTTGTGCTAGTAGCCTGTATAGCTACCTAATCAATCACTGGTTTTTATTGCATATCCTCGACTGAAGTGAATTAAGTTACCAAAGTCAACCCATAAGGGCGACTACAGTAATCTAGAAGAGTTAAGTAGGAAGTAGAGCCGTCCCCGTGTTTGCGCCTTGCTAGTTAATTGAACTGCTCCGCGGACAAAGGCCTCGTGTTCTCTCTCTCCAAGATTAGCGATCTAGACGTGCTGAGTCGACTTTAAATCAAAAGACCTCATCTAGTTGAAGTAAAATAAGCCCTAGAACGCTTTAAGTTCGAACAATCGTCAAGTTCAAGGAACTCCAGAGTCTGTGTACTCTTTGCAAGTCTTGTACTTGAAGTCAGAACCTGAGCGTTCTTTGTAGAGTGATTTTGCACTCTTTGTAGACCTCGGAGTCTTTGGTTGTTTGATTATTTGAAGTGTCCGCTAGAAGTTCTTCTAGACGACGTCGAAACGAGCATAACTTGCTCGACTATACCTTACAAAACAAGTTCATAAAACCCCGCTATCGCGGACTAGTGTACTTTGTGTAAAACACATCGAAAGAAGAATTGAAGTTGTTTTCAGGCAAAACCCCACTAGATTATCTAAATCTAAGTACATCGCGAGTGCTTCTATCGTACTCACCCTCGAACTTATATACATTGGTGATTGTGTGTGTGTGTGTGTGATTTAGTATCTAGATTGACGATCTAGACGCTAGTTTCATTTGCACGCTGCCCGTTACCGAGCACATCACCGGGCCTGTCGTCGGTTGAGCTTCTGGGGCTTTCGGAAGTACTGAAGGTTGGAATGATCTGTCCAAATCTCAAAGTCTTCTCGCGCGCCCATAAGATACTGGCACCACTCCTCTAACGCGATCATGATGGCGAGGAGTTCCTTATCGTAAATCTCATAGTTTCATTTGGTAACGGATAATGCTTTGGAGAGGAAGGCCACCGGTCGCCATTTCTCCTCCTGCCATTGTGACAACACTGCTCCAATTGCTCCCTCGCTGGAGTCTGCTTCCACTCGGAACTTCCCTTCGTCCAACGGAATAGTTAGAACCACATCCTCGCGGAACAGTTCTTTGAGCTTTTTGAACGCCTCCTGTTGAGCATTCCCCCATCGCCACTCCACCTTCCCCGTGAGAGTGGTAAGGGGCTTGATGTGTTTACTATAGTCACGAATGAATCAGCGGTAGAAGTTGCAAAAGCCCAAAAACGATTGTAGCTCCTGCTTCTTTGACGGAACAGGCCAATCCAGGAGGCCGGTGATCTTTACGGGATCCATGCGGATCCTTCCCTCGCTGATGAGCACGCCCAAGTACTCTGTTTCTTCCACTTCAAATTCGCATTTCTCCGCTTTGAGGAATAGTTTGTTTTCGTGGAGAATCCGGAGTACCTCATGCACTATGCGCCTGTGATCCTCCTTGGTTTTAGATGCGATAAGTATGTCGTCGAGGTAGACCGACACTTCCCTGGCGGTGATAAGGTCCTTGAAAATGTCGTTCATCATCCACTGAAAAGTGGCTGGTGAATTCGTGAGCCCAAAGAACATCACCAGCGGTTCATAGAGGCTGCAATTAGTTCGAAAGGCGGCCTTCCACTCATCCCCTTGCTTTATCCTAACATTGTTGTACCCCCACCGCACGTCCAACTTGGTGAAGTACTTGGCCCTCTTCAGCCGGTCCATAAGCTCTCCGATGAGTGGTAACAGGTACCGATTCTTAATGGTCATCTCATTGAGCTTGCAATAGTCCTGGACCGGACGAAGTTTACCGTCCTTTTTCTTGATGAAGAAAAATGGGGACGCCATCGGAGATTTGGAGGCTTGAATGCGCCCGGTGGATAAGTTTTCGTCCAAAAACCTATCCAGCTCCTCTTGTTCCACGGGGTTAAGAGGGTAGACCTTACAGTCCAGGTTGGCATTGGCGTTGGGGATCAACTCGATGGCATGGTCCCATGGTTTCCACGGAGGTAACTCATCAAAGTTCTCCTTGGCGAAGACATCCTCGAAATCCCTATATTCGGTTGGTACTATCTCCTCAAAGGATTTCGTTTCTTTACGAGCATTGGCCTGGGTGGCTAGTTCATTGGCCTTAGTGCCCATTGCTCGTACATGGAATGCTTCTTCAAAATCAATCACTAAGATAGTGTCCCCCTCTTCATATTCGTCCCATCTGGCCAAAGTGTTACGGTTTATTCATTTCTTTTTCCATTTTCTTCATATTACTCAGCCTGATTACTCTCATGCAATCACAACGGACGCATTCTCACAGTACTATTATTAGTTCACCAAACGTGTATTTAAGTAGAGCCTCAGCTGGCCTAAACCCCAGCTTCGGCTAAGGTTTAATCTACCCAACTCGAACTCCGTTCTTCGTGCCTACTTGCCCGCAATCCGCTTTGACATCACCTTTGACTTACTAGAGTATCTACCACCAAAGTGCGAGTGGTGATCCTAGTTCGATCTAAGTCGATTATTAGTTGGTTGTCAACATTTAGCCGAAGCTCGCTCAACGTTGCCCAGCACTATGCTGCCCAACATTTATACCTTCATTATCATACTCCTGGTAGCCGACTGGATCCTTCTACTCGTACTACCTGACCCAATCCTCACCGTCGTCCTCATAGTCCTTGTGACTACTCTGTTCGTTTTAGCCACCATCCCGGCACCACTACTAGCGATCTCACTAGTAGCGGCCTACGTTGGCCTTTTATGAATCTAAACAAAAATATGAATCTATCACACCTATCCCTCCAACTTGCCTCTTTGCTGGCAGTAATCCTGCTTGCTTTGACAAGTACCTTTGAAGTAGACGATTCCTCGTTGATGACCGGTTCCACATACGAGACCGACCTCAACTTAATAATCGCTGTACTTGCCGCCCTCACTATCCTCGCGTTGACCATCTTATGGTCCAATGTAACCGTCGGACTCAACAGAGAATAGATCTGATCACGGATGCCCTGGTCCGACGCCATTCCCGCCATCTTCGCGACTTTTACACTCTTTTTCTTGTCCATTATTTTGTACCGACTACACCACTGTTTTCAACGACAGAGGAGAGTCCGCGCACAACTCCCGTTTCACTACGTTCCCAGCACTCCCGCGTACCCCCCACCAGTAATACACATTCCCGCCGCATCTCAGCAGACAATACAAGATGTCGAATCCAACGTCTCCAGGGGACCTGGAGAATCCCTCTATGGATCGTCACGACCCAGCTCGCGATACTCAGGGTCGAGCACCGACTCCTACAGAAGCGCTACCGCCGGGTCTGCCGACTCAGTCAACATCACCGATACCCGGGGCGTACTCCTCGACAGAGGAGACTCGCCCCTACCAGGCCTCTTCGATCAGTCTCCAGTCCAAGGCGAGTCAAGCGCCGACTGAGACCGAAGACAAGGCACCAGGCCTCTGGACAAGGGCGAGGAAAGCCCTGACACCGAGTTCGAAGGGGACGAGCTCACAGACCTCGAAAGAGTCTGACTCGAAGACCTCCTCAGTGACCTCTACCCGAACAAGGAGGAAGATGCGACCTATACCGGAGATAGCTGGAGTGGAAGGTCAGGAACATGCTGGACAGACGCAGAGTGGAGAAGCGAGAGCAGAAGATATAGAGTCACCCAGGAGGACGACTATGA